CACATCCCCGGGCCGCCGAGGCCCAGGTGAGCGGGGGGTGGGGGCGGGGGCCTGGATGGGGCGCTCGAATGGGGGGTCGGGGACCGCGTCCAAACCAGAGTCGGGGCCAGGGGTCCAGCCTCGCCTTTGCGCGCGGCCGCTTGGAGACCGCGGCTGGGAGAGGGGCGCTAACTATTCTTAGTAACAAATTACTCACAGCCGCCGCAGCTGCTCGGCGCCCACCGCGCTCTGCTGGGCCCCGCAAACGTGATGGCAGCGACAACCCTGTTAGGTAGGCGCTATTGTTACCCCATCGTTCAGACGAGGAGACTGAGGCGCGCAGAGGCAAAGTCACCTGCCCAAGGTCACATCGTCGGTAAGCCTAGATTTAAACCCAGGTCAGCCTGGCTCTAAAGTGGGCACTCTTGACTTCGGGGACTTGGACGGGGTCACTCAATCTGGATTGCAACACACTGTACTTTGGTCACATTCCCTTTTGTGTTTCCGTCCTGGTATGTCCTGTCTGTCTTCTCTTTAGTGCTTCCATTCCGTCCTTGGCACACCCCCAACCTCCCTCCCCCTACCAGAAGCTTGCCTTTCTGAAGCCAAAATCAAATGTGTTGTTTCTCTGCTCCAAAGGCTTCCCATCACTTTAGAACTAAATCTCATTCTAAAGTCCACTCTGTGGCCAGCAAGGCCCCTGCTGAGCTGCCAGAACCTGACTGTACTGTTCTCTCCCCCGTTGCTTACTCCTGGCTTCCCCTAGTCAACCTGCACCCCTCTTCCCCAGCTGATTCTCTCATCCGGGGTCTTGCTGTTCCCTATCCGCCCTGTGTAAAGCCTGCCTAGCCCTAAACTCCTTATAGGGCCATCCCCCCTGAAGTTACCTTTTGTTCACCTGTTGACTGTTCACCTGTTGACTGTCTTCCGCTTTAGAATGTGAGCCCCGGAAGGGCAGGGACACTGTGCTGCTTGTGTACCCCAGCGCCTGGCACATTGCAGATGCTCAATAAATATTTGTTGAATGAACAAATGAATAAACAATGGTATTAGACACACTTTTTAAAACCTCAGGACCTGAACATTCTGGAAGGCACCCACCTCCAGCACAAGCCAGATGCCCGGGTATTAGAAGCCTGAATTCATATCTGGTGGGTTCGGGAAAGCTCTCTATGGCTGGTTACATAGGGAGGCAACTGCTGCTTCCTGCTGGCTCTCTGTCCTTCCAGACGCCCTCGCCCACCCTGGGGTCTTCCTGACCCCTTTGCCTTTGCTTAGCAGCTCTGTCTTCCACGCCACCTACATGGTTCTTCTCCCAGCCTTCTGGGCTTGGCTGAAATGCTAACTCCTCAGGGAGGTCCCACTGGCTTCCATGCCCAAATATACTATGTTCATTTTGTGAATTCTAAGTGATCCTAATGGCAATTGGGTCATTATTTGTGCAACTTGTTAAGTGTCTGTCTCTCTCATAAACCTGTGTCTGTCTCTCATTCACTGCTGTGTCCCCAGCATCTAGCAAAGCAGTGGCTGGTACATACATAGTAGACACTCAATAAACAGTGATTCTGGTGGCTGGCGGAAACCTACAAGTTCCGTTAGATGCAGCGTCACCCTTCCAAGTCTTCAAACTGGCCATCGACAGCTTGGAATCGAATGACTTCTGTGCTTATTCTGATAGATCTCGTCACGACTTGGCCTTCTCATAGACCCAAGTGTTTCAAGCGCTGTAGACCCAGTCAGTCTCTGCGTCTTGAGAAGGAAGAACTTGTCAATCCCCTCTCTAGGCCCCTCTTGCCACATCTTTTTTATTTTTTCTTATCGCATTTAAAAAATAAATTTTGTGTGCCCATCTGAAGGGCATTCAAAACTTATTAATGAATAAGTTTTACTCTTTTGAAATACACAATTCCGTGCTCTTTAGGGTAGTGACAGAGTTGTGCAAGCATCGCCACTAGTGCCAGAACATTTTCATCGCCCCAAAAGAAACTCCGGACCTGTTAGCCGCCGCTTCTCATCTTCCCTCAACCCCCAGCCCTCGGCAACCACTAATCTACTTTCTCTCTGTAGATTTGCCTGTTCTCGACATTTCATATAAATGGAACCATACGACACGAGGCCTTCGTGTTTGGCTTCTTCCGGCATTATGTTTTCAAGGATTAGCGTGTGTCCACGTTTCTTTCCTTCATAGGCCTCAATTTCCCCCCAGAGATAACACCGCAGAATCCACATGTGACCTACAGGTGTGGGCGGGAGGGCAGAGGCGTGGGAGGTGGCTGAATGTAATTACGGTTGGGCTCTTTGTTCCAAGGAGGTGAACTGAATGGTGCAGATGCAAAGAGATTTTGGATTAAAAAGTGGTTGGCAGGCAAATATAAAAGCGTGCTAAATGAAATTTCTGGAACCTCTTCTAGCACAAATCAGATGCTATGGCATTCAAGGCCTGGGTCCCCAGACCATGAGTGGCAATACTGTGGTTGACAAGAAATCAATGCATTGAGTCTCTGGGAGTGGAGTTTACCCCTTGGTGCTTCAGAGCTTTACCAGCTGGCAGGCAAGGACCCCTCTGTCTTGCAAAGAGGCAGCTACTGTGCTCTGCCTGCCCCCACTGGCCCTTCATCCTCATTTTGCAGGAGTCACCAAGATGCCCTCTTTTCCAGGATGCCCCAGTGCCCCACCTCTCTGTTCTTATTACAAACAACATCCTACTGCAACGATCCTGTAACAGCTGACAACTCACACCCCGCATTCGGATCTCACACCAAAACTTGCAGCTTCCTTATTTCTCTGTCGCTGCTCTAACCCTCTTCATCAGCTCCCACTCTCCCGGTAGTGTGTGGTGAATGTAAACTTAATGAAAAATCTCTCCCTCCCAGTGTTCATTTCTTTTGGAATAAGTTTTTCAAGTTCGACTCCTGGGCAGTGCTGGTTCTCCTCCCATTCCGACTTGCCAAGTCGCTGGGGGTGGGGCCTCTTCAACAAGTTCTGGGTGATCCCTGGCGATGCTGGAGGCCTGCTGCTGGCTCTGTTGGGCAGTGCGTCCAGCGGACTTTGGGTGCCCAGCCACCCACTCTCCTCCTATCCTTCTGGCACGAGGTACAACCTCGGCCCCTCACCCTCAGTTCTAGTGGGTAGCCCACGCCTTCGCCATTGAATGGGCTCCCTCCATCCCTCTGGGTGTCTCACAGTGGGCTCTCCAGATGAACTCTACTCCACTTATTGTCCACAGCTTTCTCTGTGCACAGGAAAATGTGTATCACCACTGTGCCCACTGCAGTGTCATAGGGAACTGAGCGAGCCGGGGACCGGCTGGGCAGAGGGATTTTCGCCCTCCCCTCCCTCCTGGGTGGCTCTGTCACATCCGGTCTACCACTAGGGGCATGCCAGGTGTCCTTCCCAGTTGCTGTGTTCTACCGTCTCATTCCATCATCCCTTACCTGCCTGTTTCTAACCTCAGGTCTTCCTGCCCCGCCTTTGCCTCCCGGGCACCCCCTGCAGGAGCTGGATGGAATGGGCTTTACTTCCCCTTCTTGCCTGGTGGTGGGGACCCCACACCACTCTATGCCCTTGGCCTTTTTGAGATGTCACACATCTTCCTCCTCAGGTGGCAGTGGACCCCAGTAGTCAGGACACAGGTGGGCCTAGGAGGCTGAGGAGGTTACAAATTCTTCTCATTCAGGTAACTCTAAACTAAGAACATTTCCTGAAAATGTGCAGCTTTGGAGAGTTGACCATAGATGCTAGGTTATTCTAGAAATGCAGCCAGGCATGTGTGGTGTCCATGGTCCATCTTTCTGCAGACGGAGCAGTAGAAGTTCAAGGCCATTCACCTTGAGTGCACTTCCCCACGCATCCGCTCGCCCCCTCTCGCAGCGTGCCTGCCTCCTCTCCAGCCCCGCACCGCCCCCGCACCCCTCCATCCACACTGTCAGACTTTATTCTCGCCTCCTACCTCCCCGAGCAAATGGCACCACCGGGAGAACTGCCTGTCAGGGCTTGGCCACTGCAGCTGCCCGCTTCTCTGCAGGGGCCCACGCACCCTATCTGCTGGGACACGGGGCGTCTTGGACAAGGACGGCCACCCCATGGCTCACGGACGCCGCCCTGTCAATGCCCTCTCTCTCCCGCATCATCAGTTTCCCTGCTCTTCTGGATCATTCTCGTTTTTATATAATATGCTGTAAAAAGAAACCCAACCCTCTCTTCCCCCTCTCATTTCCTCCAAGTGCCACCCCCTGTCTCTGCATCCCCACAGCAACCCCCCTGAGAAGCCTGTCTGTCTTCGGGCCCCGGTTCCCCACTCCTGTTCTCTCTTGAACCCACCACTCCACGGGGCTCTGGCCCCACCTGTCTACCCAGCCTGCTTCGGTCAAGGTCCCAGCGACCTCTGTGGAGCTAACGCATAGTCAGCGCTGGGTCCCCCTCTTGCCTGGCCCCTCAGCAGCCTGGGGCAGACCGACCCCTCTCTCCTTGAAGCCTTTCTCTGCAGAACCCACTGCCCTCTCTCCGGCCCTCCTCCGGCCTCCCGAAGCTCCTGCTCAGTCTCTGTGGCTGGTTGTCCCTTTGCTGCGTGTCCTTGGGTCTCTTCTCTGTCTGCTCTCACCCCTTGTGGTCTAATCCAGTGGCCGAGCTCCGGTGAGAGTCTGCCCGCCTGCTTCGCTTCCGCGTTAGATATCCCCGCCTACCTGACCTGTCCACAGCCGCGCTCCCTTATTGAGTCCACTTGTCTCAGGTCGGTCCCCAGAAAGCTCATCTTGAGACATGAGTTGAAGTGTAAGTAGTTTATGGGGAGGTGACCCCAGTGGGGCTGAGGAATTAGATAGAAAGGAGGTGAGAAAGCCAATAAAGCAAATGACCTCTGGGGGCACCTGGGGGCAGCCCCTGGGAACTCCGGGACCCTGTGGAGCACAGGCCACAGAGCTGCCCCAGCGAGGTGGAGGAATCGGGGTCACTGGTGGGCTGCTCTGGGGGGTACTCTGGGGGGTGCTGAGCTGGCACTTCTGCCTGCCCCTCCTGCAGGCAGAGCCCAGAGAGCCAGCCGTCTCCGTGCTGGCCTTCGGAAGCCTGCGACCTGCATGGCAGTGGGCAGGGGGAGGACGATGGGGTCTGCTGCCCCCAACCACCTCCTTCTTAGTCCTGTTCACCTTGGTTATGGCGCCTCCATCCATCCTCAAGCGGTCCAGGGTCATCCTTGACACCTCTCTCGCTCAGCACATCCAAACGGTCAGCCAGTCCCATTGGCTCCGCCTTCGACGTGCATTGAGCATCTGACTCCTCACTCCACTGGTCCGAGCCCTCGTCACTTCTCACAGCCCCTTCACTGGTGCCCCTCCTCCCACGCTCAGCACTGCAGCAGCAAGAATGACCCATTTAAAACCCAAGTGGGTCCCCTCTCTGCTGTGCTCAAAACCCTCCAGTGGCCCATTTTACCGAGGTCAAAGCCAAAGTGTGGACGACAGCCCACGAGCCATCCATGCAGCACCCTGCTGCAGCCACGAGGCCTTCCTTGAGCTTACCAAGCACACTCCCACCTCAGGACCTTTGCACCTGCTATTCCCTTTGCCTGGAATGCCCTTCCCCGAACTACCTGCATAGCCAGGTCCCTTGCTTCTTACAGCTCCCGTGACACCTTCATAGAGGGCCGTCCCTGACCCGCCTGTGTAAAAAGGCAGCCCGCACGCCCACCCCCAGCTTGCCTCACCTCCCCGCTCTGACTTCTCCCCCATTACTCTCTGACTTCGTAGTTACTTACTTATCTACTCTGTCTTCCCCCAGGAGAATGAGTTCACTAACCCAGAAAACCCCAACTACAGTTCTGTTGTTACTCATTCTGGAAGCTACAGTAAGTGAGCTTGACTGGAACAGAATCACGGAGCGGACGGGAAGTCATGGTACCTTAGAGTGTGCCTCGAGGCGACACTAAAAGGCTCGTCGACAATCTGGTGATCATGCTGCAAACTTAGCGTGACCCAACCGTCCCCCGGTGAGAAGGACTGTGGGGCACCCTGGTACCAGCCGTACAACTGTGGACAGGTGACCTCACCTGTCCAGCCTCAGTGGCCCTACCTGTACAATGGGTTAATAATGGACCTCCCTCCAGGTGGTGTGGGGAGTCAGATGGGGAGAGGCTTGGCACAACACCCAGCGTTGGGAAAGCGTACAGCAAAGGTCTCGAGGTGACCCACGCAATACTGTTGAGTGCCAGCCCCGACCTCTGTAGCAGGGACGTGGCTTTATTCCGCTCCATCTTCTCTCCAAGGAGGCCTCTGGAGCCGGCCAGATCCAGATTTGCATCCCACGTGGTGACCCTGAGCCAGTGCCATACCTCCTCGTGCCTCAGTCCTCTGTGAAGTGGGGCCAATAACGCCGACCTCACAGGGTCCTGGGGGGAAGGGGGCACTCTACTTGTGACTTCCGGCTTTACCTGTGACTTCCGGCGAGCTTACTGTTTCCCATTTCTTCCAGTTTCCTTCTAGGACACCTCCCCTACTTTTGGAAAAAGGATGAGGTTTGTGGCCGCGTGCTCCAAGATGTATTTTTGGATTGGTGGGTCCTAATTTGTCATTTGTTGCCCTTGCTCTAGTCTGGGTCCCTCATGGATCGGCTCCCCTGACCCAGGCCCTGTCTGGCACCTGCCCTCCCTCCTCCCCTGTGGCCACTCCCACCCTGAGCTCTTCCTCCTCTCTGAATGGAGAGACAGAACAGGCTGGTTCGAAAGGCGAGCTCTGCCATTCGCCAGACCAGCGACCTTGGACCAGCTGTCTCTGAGCCTCAGTTTCCTCATCTGTAAACTGGGTGTGGGAGTGTGACTAGCTAAGAGTCCTTGTTTGGGGTGGAGCTTTACACTTTCAAAGCATTTTCAATGACATGCTATCGCTTGATTCCCAGCACAACCTTTGGGGCAAAGGAGTGTGGCAACCCCATTTCATGGAAGTGGAGGCTGAGGCCCAGTGGGGGCTGTGACTCAGCAGGGAGTCAGCCCGAGGCCCTTGGCGAGCCCGGATCTGGGGTGGGATGCCCTGTTTCTCCAGCTGGGCCTGGGCTGGTGATTTTGACAGCCTCTTTCGGATCACTTTGGTTTCCAGGGCTAAGAAGTACGGGCCCGTCGTGCGGGTCAACGTCTTCCACAAAACCTCGGTCATCGTCACAAGCCCAGAGTCGGTCAAGGTAGGAAGCAGCGTGATTTTCATGAGGAGAGCCCTCCGCTCCCCAAGGCAGGGGGCAGGAAACTTGGCCCGGGGGGAATCGTAGGAGAAAAGTTCAAGCCACACGCATTTGGGCTGGTTTTCTGAGGCTCCAAAAGGGAGTGGCATCTTTCTAACTACGTACTATTTGGGGGCTCCGAAGAGCAGGACTGTTTGATGTGGGCGGCGGGTGGGGACTTTACTGTTGGACTCGTTTGGGTTGGGAGTCTTGCCCAACTGGTGCACATGTGCTCACCTCTTAGCCTCGGTGCCTTCATCTGCAAGGTGGGCTTATAACCCTCCTCAGGGCTGTGAAGTGAATTAAGTATTGATCAATTTATTTAACAAGTAAAGAGTCAAAAGATGCTTAAACAGTGTTTACTTTGGACCATGCACTTTTCTATGTCCTTTACAATTATGAACCCGTTTAATGTCATAGGAGTAGGAACTCCTATTAGTCTCCGTTTTTGGAGATGAAGAAACCAAGACAGGTGGCATTAATTGGTCTGAATGCGTGCAGGAAGGTGTCTACTGTGTAGGTACTAAGAATGGCCATCAGATTGTCTCTTTGGGAGTTAGCAGAACTGGGCTCAAGCCTGGGTTCAACTGGCTATGGGACCTCGGACAAGTTACTTCAACTCTCTGGGCCTCTGTTTCCTTGTTTGTAGGACAGGGATGATGCCTTTCTTACAGGTGATTATCAGAATGGGACTGAAGTGATGTATGTGAGCCATCTAGCCCACGCCTGGCACACAACAATCGCTCAGTAAATAATGGTGCTGTTATTCTTACAGCGGGTACTCAGATGATGTGTAGGGTGATTCTCTGCATGGAGGAGGGTATGGTGGCACAAAGAGGCATAAAATACAACTTAGGGTCCAGATCAGGAGACAAAATAAACAATTATGGTGTCCCTAACAGGAAGTTATAAATCATTTCATTTTAAAAAGTTTAATTTCAAATGCAGAAACAGTTTAAGACTTTTTAAAGCATGCTACCAAAAGCCATACACAAAAACCTTCATGTTGCTGAATGAGAAAAGCAGCAGAAAGGTATACATTAAGATGAATTACATCGATAGATATTAAAGTGTTAAACCAACCTTGCATTCCTGGTCGTGATACAGTTTGCTCCTGCGTACGTGGACACATGGATACGATCTGCTCATCTTTTGTTAAGAATTTTTGTTTCTATCTTTATTCTTTTCTTACAATGCCTTTGTCTGGTTTTGGTATCAGGTTAATAGGCCTCATAAGATGAGTTGGGAAATGGTTTCTGTCCTCTGTTTTCTGAAAGAGTTTGTATAGGAGTGATATTATTTCTTTCTTCAATGTTTGATAGAATTCACCAGTGAAGCCGTTTGGACCTGGCATTTTTTTTTGAGGGAAGTATTTTTTTGTTTTGTCTCAACTATGCATTCACTTTCTTTCATTGATATATGACCATCCGAATTTTCTGTTTTTTCTTTAGTTTGGTCTCTTTCAAGGAATTTGTCCATTTCTTCTAAATGGTTGAAATGACTGGAATAAAGCTGTCTACAGTATTTATTTATTATCTTTTTAATGTCTACCAGATCTGTGGTGATGTTCCTTCTTTCATTCTTGAGAACAGTAACTTGGGTTTTCTCTTCTTGATCAAGTTAGCAAAAGGTTTATCAGTCTTCATCTTCTCAAAGAACCAGCTTTTGTTTTATTGCTTTTCTCCATTGTTTGTCCATTTTCTATTTTATTGGTTTCTGCTCTTTATTATTTTCTTCCTCTACTCGTTTGGAGTTCAGTTTGTTCTTGTTCTTCTATTTTAAGATGAGAGCATAGATAATTCATTTTAGACTTTGTTTCTTTTCTGATACAAGCGTTACAAACTGTATATTTCCCTGTAGGCACTAGCTTAGTACCACACATTTCAATAGGTTGTGCTTTTACTTTCACTCGGTTCAAAATAATTTCTAACTTCTCTCGTGATTTTTTTCTTTGAACCACGAATTATTTAAATAAGTATAACGCAATTTCTAAACATTATGAGATTTTCTAGATATTTTCCTGTTATTGATTTCTAATTTAACTCTGTGAGACAAGACCAGAGAAAATACTGTTCATGATTTCAATCCTTTTCAATCTACTGCAGCTCGTTGTATGACCCGGCGTGTGGTCTGTTTTTATGAATGTGCATGGGCACTTAAAAAGAACATATATTCTGCAATTGCTGAACAGAGTGTCTTAGGAATATCGGTCAGGTCAAGCTGCTGATAGTGTTATGCGAATCTTCTAAACCCTTACTAATCTGTCTACATGTTCTAGCAGTTTCTGAGGGAGGCGTGCTAAACTCTCCAATCACAATCACGGATTCGTCTGTTTTTGCTTTCAGTCCTATCACTTTTGCTTCATGTGTTTTAAAGTCGTGTTATTAGATCTGTGCCCATGGAGCGCTGTTATGTTGTTTAATGAATCGATTCTTTTATCTTCAGAAATGCCCCCATTTATCCTTGGTAATATTCTCTTTCCTGGCCTTTATTTTGTCTCATATTAAGACAGCCATTCCGGCTGTCTCGTGCTTAGGGTCACGTGGTATATCTTTTTCTACTCTCTAGCTTCGAACCCACCTGAGTTTTCAAATTTAAAGTGGATTTCTTAGAGATAGAATGTAGTTAGGCCTTGCTGTTTTACACAGTCTGACAATCTCTGCCTTTTAATCAAGGTGCTTAGGTCACTTACATTTAATGTAATCAGTAATAGGGGTAGGTTTGTTATTTTTATTACTAACGTACTTATTAATAGGGTTTAAATCTACCATGCCGTTGTTTGTTTTCTGTTTGTCCCATCTATTGTTTGTTCCCTTTTCCTCCTTTCCCGCCTTCTTTTGGGTTGAGTATGTTTTAGTATCTCATTTTATCTTACTGGTTATCCTAGGGTTCATAGTATAATCTTTAACTTATATCAATCTATCTTCAAGTAATATCATATCACTTCATCTCTGTATACTTTTAGGATTTTCTCTTTATCGCTGATTTCAGAAATTTGATTATGATCTGCCTTGGTGTGTGATCTCCCTTTTCTTTGTGTTAATTTTATGTCAGATTCTTGCAATTTCTTGGATACGTGGATTCCTCAAGCACATTTGCAGCATTCGTAATACATGTGTTACAGCTCTCATCTGTGAATTTCATCGTCTCTGTTATTTCTGGGCCTGGTTATGGGTCAGAATTTCCTGCTCATCGGCACGTTTAGAGATTTTCTATCGCACACTGAATGTTGTGGACTGTACACTGTGGAGTGCTTGATTTTGTTTTATTCCTTTAAAGAGCGCTGGGCTGCGTTCTGGCAGATGATAAAGTTACTTGCAGATCAGCTCGATCCTTTCCAGATTTGTTTTAGGGCTTTTGTAGGGTCGATGTGGAGTAGACTTTCACAGTAGAGCTAGTTTAGCCCGACTACTAACAAGTGACCCTTCTGGGGCCTCTAATAAAGGCCTCATGTCTGAGGTTTAGCTGTGGCCAGTGGGGACTGGAACGATTCTTGGCCTGTGTAAGTTGTGAGAATTATTCAGCCTATGGGTATCCAGTCATTCTCCTTTTCTCAGAAGTCGGGTTTTTTTGTTTGTTTTTTACCCAGTCTTGTGGAATTTCACTCTACACGTGCACAGATTGGTATTCGTCCAAAGACACAAGGGGTCCCTGTGCAGGTTTGCGCACAAGAGCTCTTTGTCTGCACCATTCCCTCCTCTCCGGAACTCTGCCTACACCTTCTAGCCTCTTGTGCTTGGACCCTGATCACGGGCTCATCAGTTTGGAAAGGCCGCTGAGCTGTGTCTGACTTTCCTCTTTGAGTGTCTTTGTCCTGAAATTGGCTCTAGGCAGAAAGCTGGAGTGATCCTAGGTCATGCAGCGTGATTTTTTTTTTCCTTTTCTTCCTCTCAGAGTTCACGATCCTGCACTGCCTATTGTCCAGTGCCTAAAAACAGACATTTCGTACATTGTTGCTCGCATTTCTGGTTGTTCATGGCAGAAGGGCAAGTCTCTCGCCGTTATCCCTTCGCAGGCAGAGGTGTGCTGTCAGCGTGGACAGCCAGCGAAGGCAGCGAGGTGCTGGGGATGCCCTGCGCATCCCTTGTGTCCCAGAGCCCCCGGCTCACTGGGCCATCAAAGGATCCCCAGCTTTGGGGACGGCAGGTCACAGGGACCCCTTGCTATAAAGGACACCTGTCAGAGCCTGTGCTGAGGCTGCTGTGCCTCTGCGTGGGGGTTCCTTGGATCAGGTTGCGAAGAGGCGGCACAGACCTTAGGGTGCTCATGGATATTTGAGGGGGGCCTGGGAAGCCAGCCTTTACTGCGACATTTTTTGGCAGGAAAGGAGACCTGTGGGAATGTGGTAGTGATGGAACTGGCTTACAAATGACAGTGTTTGGGTGGGGTCCCCAGGATGTGGATCATGACCCAAAGTCAACTATTTCTGGGGGTTCTTTTCATCTGAACAATTGATATTAGACCCCTGGGAGCTAAGCTCACAGATACTAGCTGCCCCTGGGTTGATATACAGCAGAGATGTCACCTTCTGCTTCCCAGCACCCACAGGATAAAGCTCAGCATCCCCCGGGGCAGGCCCCTTAAGCCCCTGGCTGCCCCTCCCCACTCCACACAGCTCTGTCTGGATGCACCAGGCGTCCGGGGCTTCCCCTGCCTGCATCTCAGCGCTCTCTCCCCTCCCCCACAGCAAATTCCCTAGATTCAAGTCCTATGGCCACCATTTACCATATGCGTGACCTTGGGCCAGTTTTAAATCTCAGTGTCTTCATTTATATGGAAGACGAGCATAGAAGCACCACCCATGTCTTAGAGTTGACGGGGCATTAAATGAGCTGTAGGATGCTGACGTGCGCCTGGCGTGTCTGGAGCACCTGCTGTGTGTCAGGCACCGTAGCCAACATTTTCATTTAGAACTAACTTAGTCTTCACAGCAACCCTACCAGGCAGGCACTCCCTCATCCCCATCTTGTAAGATGAGGAAACCGAGCCAGAGGAGGGAGTAATTCATGCGGGCTCACGGAGTTGTTGGCACACGGTGGAGCGAGGATGTTGAGCCCAGAGTCCGAGTCGAGCCAGCTGACCCCACAGCCTGAGCTGTAACCCCTGGGCTATACGGCCTCAAGAGCTGTTAGCTAATGTTACTGTTGTGCCATCCAGCTCTTGATGAGGAAGCCGACCCTTCCTCCAGGAAGCCTTCCTTGACTTCTACGGCTCGGTTGGCACAAACAGCACTGAATCGGTGCCGAGTGTCCCTCCTGTGTTCCCAGAGCCCTCCCTTAGGGCTTCTTCGCTTCTCTCCTCTGGTTTCAGAGCAGCCCGTGTCCTTTCTTGTTCTCGCCACTTTGGAAGGTGGTGAGGTTGGGGTCCTGAGGTGAGTGTTAGGGTGATGGGACCCCCTGCACTCCCTCCCGCTGTGGTCACAGGAAAATCACTTCGCCCCTCTGCATCCCACTTTCCTTATCCCTGAATGGGATGCCGATGCTCGAAGACAGGCCTTCTGGAGGGTCAGGCGAGGCCACACGTGTGAAGTGTCCACACTACAGCCGACGCTCGGTTCAGGGTGATTATTTGGGGGCCTGTTGCACAAGAGTCAAGAGAACTGTGAGTCCTTCGCAGCCTCTCGCGGACATCCGAGCTCACGTGGGTTTTTTGGGGCTATTTAGAAGTTCCTGATGTCCACCAAGTATAACAAGGACTCCAAGATGTACCACGCGATCCAGACGGTGTTCGGCGAGCGGTAAGCCGTGGCCCGGGCTGTGAGCAGAGGGCCCCGGGCTCCAGGCCGCTGGCGTGGCGTTAGGGCCCGGGGCCCTGGCTGCCGGGCCCACCACACATTCCCCATACATGGTGGCCTTCTCCGCTTTCCCCTCAGATGGCAGATGGGAGTGTGGGGGTCACTGAGGTCGGGGCACATGATCACCCCATTTCTTTTTCATTTACTTTTTTATTTTCATCAGAGTAAAATTCACATACCGTAAAACTCACCATTTTAAGCACTTTGGAGGTACCATTCAGTGGCATTTGGTACATTCACGATGTGGCTTAACCATCACCACTGTCTAGCTCGTCACCTCCAGAGGTGACCTGTACCATCAAGCAGTCAGTCCCCATTCCCAAACCCTGTTTTTCTCATCAAGTGTTTGTGTCCCCCGCAGACTGTTCGGCCAAGGCTTGCTGTCTGAATGTGACTACGAGCGCTGGCACAAGCAGCGGAAGGTCATGGATCTGGCCTTCAGCCGCAGGTGAGTGTGGCCGGGGCGGGCGGCGGGTCTTGGCCGGGAGGCTGCACAGGGACAGGCTGGGAAGGGGGGTCTATTGGATGGGGCCTTATCAGGGAGAAAGGACAGGAAAGAGCACGTTAGTGGTCAGAGAGAGTGAGACAGACCGGCCAGTGGGACGCGAGGCCGAGAGAGGTCCCCACACTGTTTGTGAACATCAAGGGCTAGGTGACAGCGATGCCTGGAGGTATGGGGTCCCTGTCCCCCTGGAAATCTCCTGGCTCAGAACTCATCACTCCTCATCTGGACTTTTTTATTTGAGTTATTACAGTTTTCATTTTGAGATAACATTTTATTTTTAAAATAACTTTTATTGAGCTGTAATTCACATACCTTACGATACACCCATTTACAGAGTAGAATTTAAGCGTTTTAAATTTATTCACAAAGTTGTACAACCATCACTGTAGTCAATTTTAGAGCGTTTTCATCACCCCCCAAAAGCAGTCACCCCTCATTTCCTCTCTCTGTCCCCAGCGCCTGGCAACCACTAATTTACGGTCTGTATCTATGAATTCTCACATTCTAGACATTTCTTATAAATGAAATCATATATGGTTTTTTTGTGCCTGGCTTCTTTCACTTAGCATAATGTTTTCGAGGTTCATCCATGTTACAGGATGTATCAGAAATTCATTCCTTTTTATTTCCAAATAAAATTGCATCGTGTGGACATCCCACAGTTCGTTTACCCATTCGTTAGTTGACAGTTGGTCGAGGCGTTTCCACATTTTTACTGTCATGAATAATGCTGCTCTAAACAGTCGTGTACAAGTTTGTGAGTGGACCTGTGTTTCCACTTCCCTGGGAGTATGCCTAGGAGTGGGTGGCTGGGTCCTATGGTTTGCAATTTTGAGGAAAGTAATCTTTTCTTTTGATGTAATTTCAAATTTACAGAAAAATTGCCAGAATAGTCAAAGGGACTCCTGTATATCTCTTGCCCAGATTCACGGACTTGTTTATTGTTTAAATCACCATTTGCTTTATCATTTTTTCTCTCTGTGTATATATAAATATATTTACCATTTTCCCTGTGTGTACATACATATATGTATTTTTTTTTTAGGATAGTGCATATTTTTAAAAAATCATTTGAGAGTAAGTTTTGAGAGTAAGTTGGGGGCATTGTGATCCCTTCCCTTAAATACTTCTGTGTGTATTTCCTGAGAACAAGGACATTCTCTGACATGACTACAGTTCAGTTATCAAAATGAGGAAGTTTAACATGAATCCAATACTGTTATCTAATATTCAGTCTATATTTAAATTTTGTTGTTTTTTTGTGCAATTACAGCTGTTTTTTTTCCTCATATAGGGTCCAATCCAGGTTCATGTATTACATTTCATTACCATGTCTCTTTCTCCTGCATTCTAGAATAGTTCTTAGTCTTTCCTTGACCTTCTTGACCTTAAGATTACAGGCCAGTTTTGTTGAATGTCCTTCAATTTAAGTTTGTTGGCTGTTTCTGCGTGATTACACCCAACTTACCCTTTTTGGTGGAAATGGCACAGAGGTGATGTTGTGTCTCCCTCCCGGCATCATATCGGGAGGCATATGCTATCAATTTGTTCAATTGCCGAAGTTGTTAACTTCCCTCGCTTGGTTAAGGCCGTGTCCTCCAGCTTTCTCCACTGCGAAGTTGCCACTTAGTATGTGACCTGTGGGTGAATATAGATACATCCTCACCTGACTTTCATTACGGCCTCCTCCCTGGCCTCCCTGCCTCCTGCCTCCCTCATCTGGTGCATCCACCTCACTGTCCTGGAAAGATCTTGCTAAAGCTCAGATCTGGCCGCATCACTCCCCTGTCCTGAAGCCTTCAATGGGTCCCTATTATCTGAAAGCTGAAGGTCAGACCCTACCCACCCTTAGTCCCCTCCAGCCTTTGTGCCTTCTCTTCTCCACTGGGTTCTTTCTGGTGTCTCTGCCTATGTTCCTAGAATCCCTTCTGCCTTCTGTGCTCCCAAGGGAACACTGGGCCTTTTTTTTAATACCCAGCTAAGATGTCACTGCTTAGAGAAATCGTTCCCTGACCTTCCAAGGCTGAGTTATGTTCTTGTCATGCCCACTGCAGTGATTCTCATTCACATCCACCTCTCTTACTAGACCTCAGGTTTCTGAAGGCAGACGATACACTCTGTCCCTGGACCCTGCACCTAGCATAGCACCAGGCACTGTGAAAGCCCTCCAGGAGTACCCATAGAGTGAATGAATATATTAATAAAATAATGAATTGAAATAGTCTTGGACTTACTGCAGAGCTTCCAGGAGTGAGAATGAGAAGGAATAGATTAGGAAGAAGCATTTATTTCATAAAAACTTGTTGCACCAAGAGCCAGGGTTACAAAGGCCAGCCAAGGCGACATGGTTCCTGTCCTCAGAAAGCTCTGAAGTTATCCGAGGACATGGATTCTAACCAGAGGACCACCCACAGTGCTCGCGACTTAAACACCAGTGGCGTCGTCTGGGTGCGCCCATTCCGGCACACGGGACCTTGCGTTCGAACAGCGCTTCGCGTCCTATTAAGTGCTTTCACAGACATTTTTATTTTTCAAAATTAATTGTGGTTAAGATACACGTAACGTAAAATATGCTGTCTTGGCCATTCTGAGCTGTACTGTTCAGTGGTCTCAAGTATGGTCACATCGTTGTGCGACCGTCCCCACACCTTTTTATTTTTCATTTTCACAATAAGGTAGTTATCGAAGAGATGACTCTTGCATTGGAAATGCAAAATTCACAAAGTTTATGAAAAAAGATTTGGAAGATGCCTGTGTTTATGAAAGTGTTTTGACTCTTGCTGAATTCTAATTCATTAATGAGGAGAGAAAAAAGACCCATTGGTGAGTTTCATCTCTAGCCATTATCCACTAGAATAGCATTACGTACTTTAAATAACATTGGGAGAGTAAATTGCCAGTTTCTGGTCTTTCAGATACTATTTTTACTGAGAGACCTTGGTCCAGTCATTTTCGTAAAAGACAAGGGGGGTGGGATTTTACTGTACCACTAATGCTCCGGCCCAAAGTTTGTACTTACAATAGCTGCAGGAGATTCAGTGTTGTTATGGTAACCAGCCACGTGCTATCCAAACAGTCAACTTGAATGTGATTAAAAAAGAAAAAAGACAATTACAAAGAAGCTTGCAAATAAATATGTACTTGCAAACCATATAAGTGCTACGAAGGAAAAGTCAGGGGTGCCATGGGAGCACGTATTGGGCCTACTTGGGGCTCAGAAGACATTTCCCCGAGGAGGCGGCTTTTCGGTGTCCATCTGGAGAGTGGGCAGGTGTTAAGGTGGTAATGGGGCATGAGGATGGAGGCTGGCAGGGAGGAGAGCTCCGGGCAGAGGGGACAGCATGTGCAAAGGCCCTGAGGTGGGAAGCAGCATTGTGCTTTGAAAGAGCTAAAAGACCATTTTAATAGGAAGGCAATGCTGCAGGCGGGAGTCAGCAAGGGACAGGGTCTGCCCCCCGGGCCCAAGTGAGAACGTTTGCCTCCCTCCTAAGAGTGACAGAGCACGTCAAAGTGTTTTAGGTTGGTAAGGGACCAGAGCAGAGTGGTGACCTGGGCCACAGGGGATAAGCGGGGTGGGGATCAGTAGCAGTGAGCACTGAGAATTCCCAAGAGTTTAGACTTGTCATCAAGCACAGAGGTGTGGGGTCCTGCGCGAGACCCGGAAGTCGAGCAGGGCTGCTGGAAAGGCAACGAAGAGCTGATTTTCTTTTCTAATTAAAACACTTGCTCTGTTTTCTCTTCTCCCGTTTTTTTTCTTTTGAATGTTTTAAAACACTTTTTATTTAGAAACAATTTCAAATTTCTAGACAAGTTTCAAGAGTAAGAATAAGAGAAAGAACACCCCTATATTCTTTACCCAGATTGTTAACATGAAAAATTGCTTTTAATTTCAAAAGCAGCATTTTCTGTTAGTTAATATTTCTAATTATATTAGAAATATGTAATGTTCAAAGTTGCAGTCTTCCCCCTTCCCACTCCCTCAGGGGTACCGTTTTTGTGAGTTTGGAGCACATCCTTCCATATCTCTTTCTAAGCTCTATGCCTGGCAGATGAGCTGGGTAGATGTCCTGGGGCAGAGGGCTCTGTAGGTTGGGAGCTCTGGGTCTGAGGACTAATTTCCATGAAGGATTGGGCACTGTGACTGCTCAAGACAGGGCATGAAATGGGAAAACAAAAGGCTGCAGGTGGCAGCCCTGGGCAGAGCAGGTAAGGAGAGCGGGCAGTGCCCGCAGAGAAGTTGGAGAGGGACCTTCATGGGCTCTGGAGGTCCCAGAGGCCTTTCTTTCCTTCCTTCCTGCTGTCCTCTGGGGTTTCTACACAGCCACATCCCCTTGAGCTCAGAATTCAGGGACCCAGTGGCCGATGGAGGACCCGAGGAACCATTAGGACAAGGGCAAGGGGACAATGGCCATCCTGAGTGGAGGGGAATGGCGAAACCCCAGGGTTTAGTTTGATTACTACAACCCCAACATGTAAGCCGAGCCTCCAGGGGAGACCAGGAAGGCTGGGAGGGGCCACCACTGCCACTCTGTACGCTGGCCTCCTCCCAGAGAGTGGGGCGCAGGGCGGCTGCAGCCCTAGGCCAGTCCCGGTGGCCACTGATTTGTGTGCTTTTCCCCAGCTCCTTGGTTAGCTTGATGGAAACATTCAACGAGAAGGCGGAGCAGCTGGTGGAGATTCTGGAAGGCAAGGCGGATGGGCAGACCCCGGTGTCCATGCAGGAAATGCTGACCTGCACCACCATTGACATCCTGGCCAAGGTGACATGCGGATGGCAGGGCACGGGGGGCGGGGGGCTGTGCCACACGGGGCAGTGGGCTCTTCTTCCTTCCTCTTGCCCTGTCTCTGCTGTTCTTCCCTCCCTCTGAGCTACCCCATGTCGGCCCCTTCTCTGAGCCGAGAGCTTCACACCTCCTTGAAAATTCAAAACGACCTGGAATGAGATTAGAGCCACAAACTCATTCTCTAAAAACGGACGCTAAGAGGTGTGGGGACTGGCCTGTGGCCGGTCGGGGGCAGGGCAGGACCGGACCTCAGGTCTGCCTGAATCCCAGCTCAAAGCCCACCTCCACCGGGTAATGGCTTGGCTTTTCACCCTGGCAGACCCGGCGGTGGCCCAGATGACCCGAAACCCAGGTAAAGGCAGGTCAGCTAGAGCACAGAGACAGTGAACGCAGTCACTGTTATTCCATGATTCACTGGGAAGCTGGGTATAGAATGGACCCCCAAGGCAGGCTGCCTTTTAGGGGAGATGTATCTTGTCAAGGAAGGAGGCCGAGGTTTATCGAGTAGCTACTATGTGCTCCTTAACCCTCAGCACATTCAGCGGGCTCGGAGTTACCATGGTTCAGTCTGAGGAGTCGATGACACGACACACGTCAGACTCAGGGCCCGGGTCTCTAAATGGCGCCAGGCACTGCCCTGGGTGTTTGGTCTTCTCACGCCCTGGGTGCGACCCCGCCCTCCTCTCTTCCCAGGCAGCCTTTGGGTTGGAGACCAGCATGCTGCTGGGTGCCCAGAAGCCTCTGTCTGGGAAAGTGAAGCGGATCCTGGAGGGTATCAGCGCATCCCGCAACACTCTGGCGAAGGTATGGCCTCCGCGCCCCTCCTGGTGACCAGCCACCATCGCTGGTGCTCTCCTCACTCGCTGGAGCCCCTCCTCCAGTGATTTTTTTCAGAATGAGTTTTGAGCTCTGCTATGTATGTCCCACGTGACTCCTAAATCACTTGGGGTTTGCACACACTGCCCGAAGTAGAGGCTCTGAATGAAAGTAGTTTAAGCAGGTTATTAGGAGTCACTCGTTCTCTCGTGTAAAGTGACCCCTGAAGCAGGCCATCTAGGGTGGCTGTGATGGCTCCACAATGTCAGATGTTCCTGGATTTTTCTTGTGTTCCGCTGTCTCTGGCACGTCACCTCATTGTCATTATATGGCAGCTGCGGCTCCAGCTATTCCCTCCTTGTTCCGGGCTTGAAGGAGGAAGAAGGGAGAAAGGTGGTACTTGAATTGATTCTCAGAAAGATGCCCAGGGCCCCTCCCGTTCCCTGGAACCTCAGCCTCTGAGTTCGCGGTCCTCAGATGCCACCCGTCCTTTCGGCTCTCGGTCCCGCCCCCCTTCCCTCTGGCAGTGTTTCCTCCTGCACTGCAAACCTAACCACCTCCATCCTTCGGGGATCCCCGCTTGTTTTCTAGTGCACCCTGGATGCTGTAAGGCATCTTTCCCGTCATTTCTAGAGATTTGGTGCAGGAAGCGGAAGCCGAGGACGCTTGGGCTTAGCCCACCTTCTCGCCCCAGTTTCCCCGGCTGTTTTACCTTTTCTCGAACTCTCTGGCGTTCTTCCGGCCTCCGAGCTTGCCAGTGCTGCTGTGGTTTTCCCAAGTCCTTCTGGAGCTGGGGGGGGAGGAGGGGCGAGGGACGCGTGCGGTTCGCTGGACCGACCGCCCTGAGCTGCGACTCTCGTCTAGTTCATGCCGGGCAAGTGGAAGCAGCTGCGCGAGATCCGGGAGAGCATCCGCTTCCTGCGCCAGGTTGGCAAGGACTGGGTGCAGCGCCGCCGGGAGGCCCTCAAGAGAGGGGAGGACGTCCCCGCCGACATCCTCACGCAGATCCTCAAAGGTGCGGGGGCTCCCTCCGAGGCCCAGGTGGCCGGCTCCGACCCGTCAGAGCTACCGGTCACGGTCACGGCTGACTCTAGATGTCTCGGGATGGCGGCAGGGAGGGGGGGGTCGTCCCCAGCTGTGCATGGGGAAAGGCGGCAGGAGTGTGAGCGTTGCAGATGTCACTGCTGGGGCCTGAGCCTCTCTTTGTCTTTCAGCCGAAGAGGGGGCCCAGGATGACAAGATTCTGCTGGACAACTTCGTCACCTTCTTCATTGCTGGTCCGTAGTGTCAGCGGTGACTGAGGGCTCAGAGCTTTGCAGACATGATGGAACTGTGGGGTCCCTAAAACCCCTACCAAGAGATTTCTCAGGCTGTCTAATCAGAGCTCTGCTGTGGGATTGGGGGGCTGGATGGGGGCGGGAGGAGCAGAGCCCTCTCTCTCTGCTTAGGGAGATCCAGGAGGCCCCCTTGGTGGCATCTGACCTGGTGATGGAGCTGGCAGTCGCGCGGACTTGTGAAGCTGCCTTTGGGGGTTCAGGAGAGCTTGCCATGTGAATTCAGGGTTCTCCTTCACTCAGAATTCGAGTTGGGGGGCCATCAGTAAGCTAATGCAAAGACATGCTAGGCATCTTCATTCACTGGCTCATCAAATATTTCTTGAGCATCTGTCTTCACCTAGAAGACGGCCCCGCACCCATCAGGGACCCCTCGGGTGCTGCTGCCTCAGCGGAGGCTCAGTGATCAGGCCCGTTAGAATCTCTCCATGGCTTTTGCGCCCTCACATCTCACAGTTTCAGCTGTGTATTTATTGGTGTTATTCAATGAAGCCTGTCCGATGGTGGTGGTAGACAGACAGACAGACACAGATGGACAGGATTGGTTGGGAACCTTGAGGGGGTGGATTTTTGGAAGAGGGAGAAGCAACACAGCTGCCCTGCTCTGCCCCAGTCCCCTGCAGTGTCTGGACACTGGGTCACAGTTGGCAACGCAGAGCCAGGGCCAGGCCGGACTTCCAGCTGCTTCTGCTATCCACCCCCATCCCTGTACCCCTCACCCCCCAGCAGGGTTCCTGGCTGTGACTCATGCTCTTACCCGCCCTGAGAGCAGCTGGGACTCACCTCCCAGCACCTACATGCTGTGAGGTGTAGGCCCTTCTCTTGTGTATGAGCGGGCCCTTGAGGCCCCTTGACTGGCAGTGGTTGCCACCTGGTAAGCCACCTGCCCCTTTACAGGAAATTCCTGCCATGCAGATGGTTCCCTCACGGGCCAGTTGGGGGCTCTGACTATGAACTTGGCCAGATGCTGCCCAAACTCAAAATCAGCTCTTTCAGGGCAAAGTCACCACTGGTCCCTGAGGCTGCAGGGGCGCCCTCTGTGGACTTTAGGAGCTGGTGCTTGCGTGGGGGCGAGACATGGCCTTGGGCTCGAAAGCCTTGCTTGACTTGAGTCCCAGCTCTGCTCCTCCTGCTGCGTCACCTCAGAGAAACACATGCCTCTCAGCCTCAGCTTTTTCTTCTGCAAAATGGGGACGAACATCGCTCTAGGCCACTCAACTCCACTGGCTGGCACAGGCGACATGGCATCTGCTTCACATCTGTGCGCCAAGCTCAGCCCCGGCAGGCAGAAGCGAGGGCCTGAACTGCCACCAGGGTCTGGGGGTCTCAGAGGCCGGGCCAACAGCAGCCATGTGGTCCAGTGCAGAGCTGCCACTCTCCTCCTTTCCTGCAGGTCACGAGACCTCTGCTAATCACTTGGCCTTCACTGTGATGGAGCTGTCACGCCAGCCCGAGATCTTGGCGAGGTACGGAGAGGGGGTCGGGAGTGCTCCCTTGATGTCGGTGAAGGAGTTTGTCTGCTGTCTTTTTCCTGGAGGGCCACCTAGAGGGTCGAGCCCCCTGCATTGTGTCCTGCTTCTCTCTACCCCAGGGCCTTTGCACATGCTGTTTCCTCTTCAGGAAGCCTGTCTTTCTGCTTTTCTCCAGGAGAATTCCTCCTCCTCTTCCTCTTTCTCAGACCCCTAAAGCAGACTCTATCCTCCTCCCAGCTGACGAATGCGTTTATTCCTAGGACCGTTTGCTCTAAGTCTATTTCAGTCATGAAACTGGAAGCTCCAAGCGGGCAGG